GATGAATGTCCATTTTGTATCTGTGTATTCAAAGTGGTTAGGATAGATATATAGTTACATTCTCTTAATGAATAGAATGATTTGTTCTATTGGTGTTTGAAAATAGGATATCCAGTCCGCATCTTGTACAGCAATTAACCACTAACAAGAATGTATGCAGTGTGGTAATTATTGAAACTGCTCTACCGATTTGATTTGAAACTGTCTCATTGCTATTTATCAATAAAATTATGTCCAAAAAAATGGAAAAAATAAAAAATAAAAAAGAATAAAAAATAAAAGCATTTTCATCAGCTAAGCAGCTATTGCTCAAAATAGTTAGCATATATAATACAAACATAATAATTTTAATAGCATGCCTATTAATAAAATAATTTCTCAGATTTGTTCTTTATTACTTAGATGTCCAAACCATAGTCTTTTAAAGTTGCAGTTACCATTCAAAGATAAGTATTTTAACTTCTTTATGAAATTAAGTCTTCATATATGTTCAGAAAGGAAAGTATCAAAAAAATTAAAAACAAAACTATCAATAATTATTAATTCTTAGAATGTAGCATTATTAGTACAATGTAAAAATTAGCAAAACAGGTTAACATTAAATATTTAATGACGTCGTAGCATTTAAATAGACCAATGTCTTATCTAGTTTGCAACTAACACTAAATTTGTTTTATTTACTGATTGATTTTTTTTTTAATGTATTTATAACAGGGTCTCACTACACAGATAGGACTCATCGTCCTTCTGTTTTTTAGCCTCCCAAGCGCTGGGATTACAGGTGTGTGCCACCACACCCAGTCTCATTATATATATTCACAGCACACCCTCGGAGAGGGGCCAGCACAACAGGCCAGGAATCAAACCCCTGGCCCCTGTGTCTGCTTAAGCAGGCGCTTTAAACTGCTGAGCTATCTGGCCAGCCTTTTGATTGACTGATTTTTGAGACAGGGTCTCACTTTATAGTTTAGGCTATGCTAGAACTTACAGCGATCCTCCTGTCTCAGCCTCCCAACTTCTGGGATTACAGATGTGTGCCAGCTAAAAGAATCATTTTTTAAAAAAACTTCCCTATAACTTAGACTTAAGTTTATCAGTACATATTCTTGGACTCTCATGTTACTGTCTCCTTAAAAAAGTATTTTGGATACAAAGCATAAAATACCCAGGTTTGAAAATGGGAGTTCTCAGGTCAGGAAGACAGCTCAGTAGAATGGGTCCTGAGTTCAATCCCCAATTCCACAAAAAAAAAAAGAAAGAAAGAAAGAAAGAAAGAAAGAAAGAAAGAAAGAAAGAAAGAAAGAAAGAAAGAAAGAAAGAAGAAAAGAAAATGGAATTCTCTGCCTTCTATAGATCTACATCATAAAGACCCATCAGGTTTACATAAGGGTGTGACATTTGTAGATTTCATAGATTGTCCCTGCATATATAGCCTGTGTCATATGTCAGACTTGTGACTCTCCCTTGGCTGGGCAGCTTCACATTTGTTACAGTACAACAGAAATAGAAATTTCCATTTTTCTCTGAAGTAGAGTTTCCATGTTACTCTTGACAGTTTAAAATACATTTGACAGTAAGTAAAAAAAAAAGTAGTGTCTTTTTAAAAAAATTTTCCAGACATACTCTGGTAATTCTTTGTTACTTGGAAAAAAAAATACCAGTATATCTGATTAGCTATTTCTAGCTACATGAAGATACTGACGTGGTAATCACTGGCTACAATTTGATGTTTAATGATTATAATAAAGATTATCAGTAGTCTTGATTTTTTAAAAAAATGTACTTTTATCCAGTTAATCTCTAAAGGTCACAGAGCTTTTAAGGTAGCTGAATCCCTTTCTTTGCTATTTAACTATCTACATTATTATAATAACATCTATAATAACTACATTATTATAGTAACATCTACTATCAGTAATATCTGAATTCCTAAAGGTATCCTGTACCTTTTTATCTTCTTATTCCAGAAATTTGGTACATTGTATTTATATAGTTTTTTAAAATCTTTTATTTATTTGGTACACGGTGTCATTACACAGTTCAGACTTGTAATGATCTTCCTGTTTCAGCCTCTCCAGTGCTGGGATTACAGGTGTATGCCACCACACCCAGTTTTGGTGGCCAGCACAGCATGTCCAGAGTTCTGCGGCAGCAAGGTGTGTGATCCTAGGGATCAAATCCAGGTCCTCGTGCTTGCCAGATAGGCCCTTAGACCTCTGAGCTATCTCCCCAGTCCTGTTATATATTTTGATCTTTAAAATAATATCAAAATAATTTCCTACCAGAAGCTGAAGTAGTATCTTCATTGTCATACTTTTCATGCCATTCCATCGTCCTGTAGTAGCTCAGCATAACTTCCCAGAGTGCTTTGCACAGATCCGCAAGGCAAGGAATATAACTATCTGGTGTAACATGCTGAAGGAAATGAGAAAAGCGAATTTGCAAATTACTGTTTACTTGTATAGCTAATCAAAATAAAATGTTCTATTACTATTGAAATTATTTTATAAATTATAGTAAGAAAACTACCTCTACTAACAAATTTAAAGAGAAAATTAATAAAATTCTTTACATTCCCATTTCAACATGACATTTTTCTGCTCCTTAGTACACTATGAATCAACTATATTCACAGAACCTCAGAGTCTAAAAAATACTACTGCATCACCAGCTGTTCTCATAAACAGCAGCGTAAACTTTCTGACGTATGTTTTTCAAAAACATGCTCCTAAACGTAGCAACCCAGCTGTATATTTATCCTCAGATGTGAGTAACAACTAGAAAAATGGGAGGTGGTCTTCAATGCAATCACCTCATTTGTATAAACTCAAAAAGTAGCTTTGAGCATCTCCAAATTCTTTAAACCAAATCGATACAGACATTCCACATCTAACAGTAAAACTCTTCAGCTTGAATCATCTCAATGTTCTAACAAGAAGGCATGACTTTTTTCCCTATCTTTTGTGAAAAGTCATTCTGCCTAATTTCTATTTTGCAGGGTTCTCATTTGCCACACTGTGATATTTGCTCCATCATTTGAGATGTTCTAGGATTCCTTTAGTTTGTGCTACACCACCCACAACTGGTCAAGTTACCAGTACACTGAAAGGCTCTGCCTGTGGCTACAGCAAGAACAGCTACCGTGTGGCGGCTGCTCAGGATGACAGAGTTGGTGGCTGTCTTCTCTCTCCAGGGTTTTATTCCCATGGCAATCTCTCCTTCCTCAGCTTCCACATTTGTCAAACATTCATGTAGCTATTAAAAACACTAACTTGTGTGACTCACGGTATCCAGGAGGGGTTAACGGCAAAAATGCTACAACGGTCTCTAATCTTGAAAGCCTCTCACTATCGTGTGCCCTACAATAAGGTCTAGCCAAAAACAAATGATTATCCAAAGAGATGCTGAAAAAAAAAAAAAAACCTTTATAACACTGAACACCCATTCCTAACTAAAAATTGATCACAAAAATGAGAATTGTTGGCTATTTCCGTAAATTGAGAAAATACCAACACTTAAACCGCTGTGGTCGGGAGCAAAGCGTGCTCATCACCTGTTCACCAATGTTCTGCAGGCTCCCGCCCATGCAATCAGACTACATGAAACATTAAAGGCAAAAGGTGAGAAAAAAAGAAAACTATTTCTGCTAATGACACTGTAACAAACCGGGCTGTTCCTACAGGGTCAGTGATAAAACAAATAAAAACAACAAATGGACTCAGAGTCAACGAACAGTGATGTACTTGAAAAAAAGATCCACAACATAAATTCACACTAGAGTGAATAGTCCATAGATAAAAAGGACTCTTACAAGTTTGGGAAACTGGATACAGAGGTACAAGGTGAACTCCCAGCTACAGTTAAGACAAGAGGCATCATATTGAAAACCTGTCTCAAAAACAAACAAAAATGTTTGGAAAAAACCACAGTAATTCTACAGGAAAATGGGAAAGAAGGCAAATGAACAGACTTCATTGCAACATAAAAAAATGGTCCCAGTGTGCTCACATAACAGCACTGTACCAAAACTGGGACGACACAGTGATTAGCAAGGCCTCCTCTGAGCCTGTAAGCAAGGTGTGGCAGCACAGCCCTGTAATCCCAGTGCTAGGAAGGCTTACGCAGAAGGATCGCTGTGAGCTTGAGGCCAGCCTGGGTTACTTAGTGAGCTGAACATCAACCTAGTCTGCACAGTAAGACCCTGTTACAAAAACAAAAACAAAGAATAACAACAGCACCAAAACGACAACAGCAACAACAACAAATGACCTAAAACACTGGAAATTATGTTCCACTTTCCTCGTTTTTTTTTTCATTTTACTCATAAGACAAATAAATTAAAATTACAAAATAAGCAAATGCTCACTCATCTAACTTAAAATTTTAAAACTGAACATTAGAAATGAGTCCTTCCTCAATCAAACTCTAGCCAGGTTCCTCTGAGCCACCTTTATAACTATGTAACTTTCCCAAGGCCTAAAACCTGGCCTAAAAGGACTTGAACACACTCCACCAGTTTCTAATGGCTCAAGGTCATATCCTTAGGATGCTCCTGCCCTCCCATACCAAGCTTCCCTGAAGAAACTGAAGACAGCCAAAGTAATTTACTGGTACAGCCAACACCCAAGGACAGGCCCCTCACCCAGCCTCCATGGGCATTAGGAACCTAACTTTCACAAGTACCGGTTAACAGACTTCAATAGGTTTCAATCACTTTTTCACTTTTTTTTTTTTTTTTTTTTGCAATTTTTTACTTCTTTACTGCATTAAGTCCCTCCCAACCCTCTCTCTAGTCCCTCATTCTCTCTTCAAAATATAAAGTTCCCTTTGTACAATTTTAAATTCAGTTCAGTTCATGCTATACTCTTTAACTGGAATACTCTATTATTGATAAAAATCTGTCCCAACCACTTTAGTGACTGACTTTCTTTTCCTCGGACACCACACACACTCATATGTATTCTGTTGGTCAGGCTGTGAAGAAAAGGGCACTCCAATACATTTGCTGGTGGGAATACAAAACACTACACCCCTGAGGAAGCCTTGGACTTGGCACCATGTAACAAAACACTCTACCTTGGTGTCAGGCACGGTGGCACAATTTGTAATCCCAACATGCTCGGAGGCTGAGGCAGGAAGACCACAAGTGGGAGCCCAGCCAAGGAAACTCAGTGACTTAGGGAGACCCTACCTCAAAATTTAAAAAAAAAAAAAAATTCTAAAGGTTTAGGCTTATAGCTCAGCTTAAAGAGCCTTTATTTAACCTCTAGTACTCCAGTACTGAAAAGAAAACAAAACAGTATACAGTGTACAAAGACTGATCAAACAATTGATATATTTAAGTTATATACATAAAATATATATAAAACATAAAACACAAAAATATTATTTCCCCAAAATTCTCCCCCTTCCTTGGAACACACCTATCCCATCACTCGCTACGATGTGAAGCAGTTCTGGAGTCCTCTGTCATAAGGGTCCCTTTAAAGCATTATAAAAAGTAAAGTGGATGCCGCTGCTGAGTGCCACCCACCAGAAGGGCAGGTGGTAAAACACTGCACTGTGTTCTCTCTATCTTACTCAGACTTCTGGCTCCTTCCATGTCAAAATAGCCATGAAAGGAAAACTGAGGTGGCCATAACAGTGTAATTAAAAACATGAGAGAGGACTTCCAGAAGTGTTTCAGCAAGTGACAAGAATGATGGCATTCATGTTTGAAGCCAGGGGGAGTATTTTGAGGAGAACTAATGACAATGTGTCTTTTACTGTAACAATTTTTTTAAGATTTAAATATTCACTATAGTGTTGATAATATATTGTGGTTTTGCTTTGAACTAGCAATCTCGTTTCTAGAAATCTTTCCTGAAGACACCTCCACAATGGGAATTACACACATACAAGGCTGTACAGTAAAAGCTTATTTGTAAATATAAAATATTAAAATCACATAAGACTGGTAGAATAAACTATCATTCATATATCCTTAAAAGTACTACAAAATTGTAAAAAATAATTTGTGGCAAGTTGTCATGCTTAATTTTATAACTGCTACCTTCCAATGAACCAGTTTTACTTCATTTTCCTCACTTTACTCTAGCATTTCATTACACTTAAGCCATTTCTTAACATTACTGACCTATTGTCTTAACCAATACTGATGCATAGTGTAAGAAAACAATCACTGACTGAAATAAAAATACCTCTCTGTAAGGGATCTTTTCTAGCTTTCATAAACTCAAGTTTTCATGCATTCATATGATGTAAATATACTTAATCTATGCATTTTTCAACATTCCTTCTGGTAGGAAAGTAGCACTAATCATCTTTCTTCCAAAGAAAAATTACATAAGTAACTGTATTACAGACCACCGATTAATTTCTTTTATACTTGTCACAGTTTAATCAAGCAGAAAATTAACACTTAGACGTACTCTGTATTCTCCACTTATTCACAAAGTAGCTACATTATTGGCCTACCTATTTGTTATGTTAGCTCTTGAGATTTGCTGAAACAGATTTGTACAAATGCACACATAAATATATACAATTTTTTAAAAATCTGAGATAATGCAATGAAGTTATACCAAGTCTTTTTCTCACTGAATCAAGAATGATTTACAGATCTAGCCAAGCCACTGCATTTGCCTAAGTCTATGAAAAGTTCTCAAATATAATTATCTTTAAATATAATCATGTTTACAAGCATAAGATCATGGTATCTTTAGCACCAAGGATTTGAGTAACGTGATCATTCTTGTCTGATTCAATCTTAAAATAAAAACAATTTTAGAGACTTTTATTAAATATAACAAACAGTTTAAGGAAAAGGGAACAATTTTTTTAAATATGGTTTCAACAGATTCATACGCAGATTTCTTAATCTCTGTACCTGTCAGTTGTGCTGGCCATAAGTTGGATTCATCCATGATAAAATCAGACACTTTTCATTAATTATGTGATGTAACCACACGATGTCTACCCTCGCAGCCACAAATGCTTCTCATGCTTTTGACACCACATCCTTAAAATTGCTCGCAGCTAGTATTTGCAAATTATCTTATGAAAATCACCTCCAAACAGAGAACCTTACTGGACCAACAAATAATTACCTAAGGAATTACAGGGACAGACCAAGAAGACTGAAATTTCTCAACCACCCATACAATCTCTACTCACCCAGTAACTCTTCAGATCTGCACAGCAGTTCAGAAAGAGATACAGATCAAGAATAAGAGGTCCTGTATTCCAATTGGCACCAATTCCACAACTTAAACAGTCACATGATACCAAACAGTAAGGCCACTCTGGACGTGTTTTCACCTCCCTAAATCTTCCTGTCTCGTTCCTGGCTTAAGTCATTTACCAATTAGTAAATATCTAACACTGAAATTAACCTCAAGTTTCGATGAAGCGGG